TATTGACCATGCAGAAGAGGTCGACGACAACGAAACGTAGGATCATAGCTAAATGTGTCGCTTCCGCGACATAAACGTCGCACCCTTAATAAAAAGGAAGTACACAGTAACATTGTACGGTTAAGCTGTAAGTGTGTAAATTCCAATAAATTTTAATAAGGAGTCCAGGAGGAATAGTGGATACATAATTGATACAAACAAAATGTGTACTTTAGTGTGAATGTATGAGTAAAATTGAGAATGGAAATGGGGAATATATTAAAGAGACAACAACAGCCGAAGGCCATCAATGGGTCTTCAACGCAGCGAGAAAATCCCGCACCCGGTGGTTGGCCTCAGCTGGCCCCTAAATAAAAATGTGTACTAGTTCAGTGAAAATGGGTGTTATACTAAACTCCAAAACATATAAATGAACTAAAATTAAAATACATACAAGATTAACAAAGGCCAGAGGCTTCCAACTTAGGACAGGCGCAAAAATGTGGTAAGTAAAATATGAGCAAGTCCATTTCATTCTAAAGTAAACTACAAAAAGCATTTATGAAAACGAAGGGCTGAAATAAGAGTGCAAACGTACATCATGCGATTAATTATGATAAATATACTTTATTCCAAAAGCAAGTACAGCTTATAGGATATATACAATGTTTGACAAATTAATTATACCTGCACCATATCACTTAAACAGACATATACTCAAATGTTTAACTACATTAAACCCATCTTATAAAAAATACAAATCGTCTTGAAATTGATTTTGTATTACAATAAGTACATAATCTATCTTTCCTCTAAAAAATCATAATGTCTTCCCGTCTTTATATTCAAGTTATGTGCGCAAATACGGTATCACTTACAAATATAAGGTTTTTAAAAATAATTCACTTGTTTGTGTAACTAAAATTGTAAAGTATGTGTACAGAAAACATATTTATATAATTGACATTTATTTGAGACTTGAAAGAAAGCATTTGCTTCGCATATAAATGTATCAACCATTCATTTCTCTTTTTTTTAATTATCTCTGAAAAATCTACATTATCTACCTTTTGACTTAACCATACTTAGTTGAAGCTATATTTACCCAAAATATCTTTAATCTTACAGCTACTAAATATTTCATTATAACGATTTTTTCATATGCAATTATCAGTACATAATAAGTTTATCCAATATTTTACCATGATTCTATATTTTCTTTCTACACACATAGGTGTTCTACCCAGTTCACAATATACCATGTTATAAACAAATCTCCTCTTGACTTTCAGTATAAGATTGAAAATATACATATGGCAACATAACATAACATTATTAAGTCTCAAAAGAGAGGCGAAAGATACCAAAGGGTCGTACATTCAAACTCGTGAACCAAAATAAACTGACAACGCAAAGGCAAGATTCATATATTGTAACTACTAATGTTTTTATAAACTAAGACATTAGTGCAATTATATAGCAATTCACAGTGACACTACAAATTATATAATAAAATGCTGCACAACAGGGCGTAGAGGTCGTACACTGAACAGTTGGAGCAAGTATCGACAGATCATTTCTGCTCTAAATTTGGATTGTGATTAGATATTTGACACATTACAGGTTTTTGACACAGAATGAATTTAGTCTAAGAACTTTCAAAAAATTTGAATTGGACATTTACCCTTTATTGTCCAAAATCCAAAATCTAAATATATGGTTAGATGTACCATAACAGAGAACCCTTTATTTGTCTTCAAAATATAGCAAAGGCATAAAATAAGTGACAAATGTAATAACAAAACAGTCTACTCCACTTTCTAGTTGCTATAAACAGATGGAGAAAATGAATTATTTGTGTTGTAAAATTGCCAATACCAGCAATACTATCAATGTATAAACATACAACACCTGATGTATTTAGTAGGTTGGAGAAACAAGGGACCAATATAACATAATTATAATAAATAAATGAAAGAGATGAAAAATGGTACAGGAAAAATTAAGTTAATTGTGTCACTGTCCTTGCAACCTTTATTGTATTGGCCTCTGGGTGTTTAAAACTAGCATTGCTATAACAAAATTGTATAAAAGAATAATTTAATTTTGGATATAACACGTCTTCTGATTGGCTGAGAGAATTTTGTTTATTAGCTCATAGACATCGTTTTGTCATGTGCCCGTGACAACTTCAACGTTCTTTTTTCATGATTTACTCCTTAAAAACGGATTTTAGAATTAAATTATAGGGAATATTGTAATATTTTTTTTCTGTCTATTCGAAAAAACATTAAAAATATGGTGATCACTGTTAAATAACCCGCCACGCGCGCTAGATATCATCACTGTGTACCACATTTTTTATGTTATTTAATGAATGGCTATTATTATACCCCACGCAACGGGTTGCGGAGGGTATAATGTTTTTTTACCCGTCCGTCCGTCTGTCCGTCCGTCCGTCCGTCCGTCCGTCCGTCTGTCCATCAGTCCGTCAGTCCTGTTTCTTGTCATCGCAACTCCTCTCAAACCACACAACAGAATTTCACGAAACCTTTTTAGATAATAAGGACATACTATGTAGATGTGCATATCGACAGGAAATTGCAATTCAATTTTTCTAGGAGTTACGCCCCTTTGAACTTATTTACTTTAATGTACTACTGCAACAGTTTGTCATCGCAACTCCTCTGATACCACACAACAGAATTTCATGAAACCTTTTTAGATAATAAGGACATACTATGTAGATGTGCATATCGACAGGAAATTACGGTTCAATTTTTTGTCTAGGAGTTACGCCCCTTTGAACTTATTTGCTTCAATGTACTACTGCAACAGTTTGTCATCGCAACTCCTCTGAAACCACACAACAGAATTTCAGGAAACTTTGTAGATAATAAGGACATACTATGTAGATGTGCATATCGACAGGAAATTATGATTCAATTTTTTTAGGAGTTTCGCCCCTTTGAACTTATTTGCTTCAATGTACTTCTGCAACAGTTTGTCATCGCAACTCCTCTGAAACCACACAACATAATTTCATGAAACTTTGTAGATAATAAGGACAGACTATGTAGATGTGCATATTGACAGGAAATTATGATTCAATTTTTTTTCCACATATTTTATTTCTCCAATGACAATGTGGGGACGTGGGGTATGTGAGCGCGCTCACTAAGGTTCTTTAATTTATTATGAATTTATTGCGAATTCTTCGCGGATTATTCAATGTGAAGAGTCAAAAATTAATTTTATGGTTCAATAAATTCAAAATTAATTATTGCCATTCATTATAAATAAATTTCTATCAAAAATAAGGCTCAAAGAACTGTTTATATTATTTATATTAACAATAACAACGTACACACATGTTGGCGTATGAAAAATAAAAAAGTAGTTCCGGTAAAAGTGGGCGTGTCGCCATAAAAAATTACAACATTTGAAATAAAAGTAAAACTTTTAACCAATCAGACGACAGTAAATGCACCAAATTTGTTTATTTCTTAATAGACAGAAAAAAATATTAAAGTAATTCCTTAATCAAAGATATAAATCTTGACAGCAATATAATCTGACGCAGCACAATTAGATCTGCGTGTATGCTTAACTACACAAGTTTTGTATCAACACTCAAAGCATCAGCATCTAAAGCATCACATTGTAATTTGTTGTATTAACATACCAAAAAGTATTTCAATTCTTTGATTGGTATATAAACCTGTTATCTCACATTGAAAAATAAATCAACGTGTAAGGCCATTCAATATGTATTATGTTATATAGGTACAATGGATAAGCGTGGATTCTTGAAAAAGAAACCATGAGCCCGGAGGGCGAATGGTTTGTTTTTCATGAATCTACGCTTATCCATTGTATCTATAACTTAAACTATTGTGTTAATTTCTTTTCAAAATTAAAGCCTTTTCTTAATTAGAAGGTATTGTAAGTGAGTTTAAATAACCATGTTATCGTGTCCAACGATGCATTGATAAATCTCAGATCACAATTAATTGGTTAACAAATACAAATATAACACTTCTACCTTTAAAGATCTTTATATTACCAGGCATATGGATATCATCTGTTTATACAAAATAAGACATATTCGAAATTATTTCTAATAAAATTGAAAATGGAAATGGGGAACGTGTCCAAGAGACAACAACCCGACCAAAAAGCATATATAAAGTATATATAATAAGTATGTTATCGAAATTTTTCTAGTCCTCTAGGCACATCACGATTTTCTCGCATAGGAATTTGCGAACAAACCTTTGTAAAATTATGTAGTAAAACAGATGAAATCATACTATATTTATAAAACAAAAATTGACAAATAGAATGTAATCATTTTTGTTTCAAACATGTGAAATAGCCAATGATAATAAAAAAAAACCGGTAAAACTCGCTATTATTACAAAAATATCCACTATAACTTGCAAAATTAGAAAAAAAACAGGATAACTTAAGAATTGGAACAACAGAGAGAATACAGGGATTCGAACCTAAACCGACAAATCCCGATCTTTAACTCATTGATTTTAACCCTGCTAACCTCGCGGCTACCAACTCATACTATACGACTGCCTATTATGTCTATATAAAGGTACAAGCCCTGTGTGTCCGATGAACCGATGTATATCAGATGTTCATTTAAATATATATAATCAACATCTATAGTGTAACCCATTGGTAGCCGAGAGGTTTCGTCGGTGTGTTGATGTCAGTCACACATAACAGATTTCAAGGAAGGGTTCGATTCCCAGTGAAGGCATATAAAAATTACAAAAATTAAAGGTAAGTTTTTAAATTAATTCCTTTAGTGAACAGAAATCAGTAAATTAGCCAATTCAAACTTAATGAAATTAGGCACACAAAGGAAACAATTGAATATAATTTGGTGAGTCAATTTCAGCGGCAGATTTAGGAAGCGTTGATTCTAGAAAAAGAATCCACGGTAAATGAATAGGCTGACGTCACCACAATGGTTTAATGTATATTAAGGACCAAACATCAGGTTATGACAATAAATCAAAGTTTTTTGGTCTCTTCAGTCATAGCGATCTGGTATGTATAGTATATATATATATATATTACAATAGGAAGTTTATATTTTTTAATAAAAGCCATAAAGTACTATTCAATGATTTGGAGGAAGAGCCATTTGTACATTTGGTAAATATATCCCAACAGCAAGTATATAACACCTTGCTGGTATAAATGGTTTTCCCGTGCCTTTATAAGGACGACCTAATCCAAGAATTATTACTGCATCCGTGTATTCTTTACCGATATGATCAAACTGTAATGTAGTGATGGGAAAGGCGTACTCACCAGATGGACATCTGATATGACAATAGTTTTTCGCCTTTTTTTCATTGAATCTAATCAATGCTTCGGACCTTATTATACCCGCTGAACTGCATTCTGTTTGTTCGTCGACGAAGCGTCTGTCTCGTATATCATTAAACACTTCGTTTACATCAGACTTGGCCATTTCTAAAAAGGATGGGTATACAGAATATACACAGGTGACTGGTGTTTCCAAAATAGAGAATCCATCTACAATCATGTCTTCATTACGGTGCGGAAATGGCGTTAAGTTCTTCTTTTGGTCCGGATGAGCTATTACGCTAAATATATACAACATACCAAACTCTAATTGTTCATTCGTAGGCCAGTTACATTTCTGGTTGCCGGTGTTAAAGATAGGCCTAAAGATACGACCAGTTCTTTCGTCTAATCCAAGGTAGCAAAATCCTTTATTCATTTTTGTCTTTGCGATAATTTTCAATGTAATTGAACCAGGCACTACGACACTATCAAGGTCATGTTGAATGTTCAATTCAACATCTTCAGGGATTTCAAAGTTCTTATCACATTTGAAGCACTCTTGAAATTGTCGTTGTTTTCTCTAACGACATAGAGACTTTTAATATTATTACATTATCAAAACCACAGATATCAGGCACTCTTCCTTCCAACATTTCATCATCATTCCATACTGGACGTGCAGTAACCTGTGCAACGGTTTCAAAATCTTTACCGCAATGTGGACAACTTATGCCACATGGAACATTGGCCGTGTCAAAGTAGTATTCATCAAGATATTCACATCCTGCTGCTGTATAGCTTATCCCATTAAGATAATCTTCTATAGATAATAATGGCCAATAATAAACATTATCTTTTTCGAAAAGCATATAACAGTGGATGCATTGTATGAATTGGTCAATTGGTAGGTTGAGAATCGAAAACCCTCCTTCTGCCATCTGAAAGAAGTTCAAAAGATATTTGTTTATTTAAGTCTAAAGAGCAGAAAACAGCCGAAGGCCACCAATGAGTCTTCAACACAGCGAACATATACCATGAGTACAGACAGCTTCAATAACGACTTGAGAATATTTGAAGGCATCCAGGAAACAAAATATGAAGATATGATAGATAAAATAAATGCATTCAGATTTTTTTTTTTAATTTTAGTTCCTAAATGAAATTAAATAAAAAAAAAAAAAACATACTAGGCTAACAAAGGCCAGAGGCTCCTGACTTGGGACAGGCGCAAAAATGCGGCGTGGTTTAACATGTTTAGTAAGATCTCAACCCTCTCCCTATACCTTTAGCCAATGTAGAAAAAACAAACACACAGCAATACGCACAGTAAATACATTTTATTTATTACTTGGGAGTGTACATCATTTTTTCATAACCCTTTTGCAAATCCAAGTTTCTACAAACCTGATGTCTAATACAAATTGCACAAACCAATCGCAATATAGATTTAAGCACTCAGTTTTCATTATAACCTGAATGCATTTATTTTATCTGTCATATCTTCATATTTTGTTTCCAGGATGCATTCAATTATTCTCAAGTAGTTATTGAAGCTGTCTGTACTCATGGTATATGTATAGATAAAGTCCAATTTCCATTTGAAGTGAAACCCTATAGCCTGCAACTTATAAGAAGGTTTCGTATATTTTTCTTGAAAGTAACACACCAGCTTCATTGGTACCTTTATATAGAGACTTATTTTGGTTTCATAAAACATCTCAAATTTTAAGGATTTCCTGATTTTACTAAAATCAATCCAAATATTTTACAGGAAAACTTGATTTTGAAGAATATTTTGTTTTCAGAAGTTTTATGAATACCTGAACATACTCTCAAAAGAACCAATTTATATAAAAAAAGATATGTAGATATAGAAAGATACCAGGATTAAATGTTGTACGCCAGACGCGAGTAAAGTCTTTGGGGTAAGATGGTAGAAAAAACTAGATATAGAACTATAGCATATATTTTGAATAACTGTAAGAATGGCGATGAAACGAGCAAAAAGTGGGCCAATTACAGTCGGTAACTCTTTTCACGTAACAACCTCTAAATGGTATGGAACTATATGTTTCGTTCAATCCAATTTTCAGGGATGAATATAAAACTGATTTTTTTTGTAATTGTTTAATTTCGTGGTTTTGTCAAAGTTTGCATACAATACTACAGAAAATTTGAACTTCGGAGAATTTGTGGTTTACCTTTACTAGTACTGCAGATCGATGAAAAAAATGCGTGTTTGATGATAAAAGCACCAAATTTGGCAAGGCAGTAGCCCTGGTATTTCAAACAACATTAGATATGGACCCACCTTGGTATTTCCAAAATGACCACCATAAAATATCAAAATCAACATATATATATATCACTTATATAAAGTCAAATCTAAGGTCAAATTTGTCATGGTAGAACATGTAGAAGTGCTGGATGTATCGAAAAATATACGCTTTGAATCCATCTTGAAAATTCAATATAGCGGCTTTTTCCAAGATGGCCGCCACAAAATATCAAACTCAACAAATATCCCTAATACTAGTTTACATTTGCGATGTTAGTAGTGATGTGTGCTTCGAACAATATAAGCTATCAACCCAACTTGAAATTTTAATATGTGGGCCTGTTCCAAGATTAGATGGCCGCGATAAGATATCAAAATCAACAAAATTCCCTTATAGATGGTTACAAAGTGTTTTGTTTTGGCATAAACTTAAGAGCACTAAAATACCAAGTGTAGGCCACAATACATGTATCAAGATTTGTCAGGGAACATTAGAAAATCGTTACTATTGTACCTTTCTTGTGGAACAGTTGTCTACAACGAGGGATCACGTAAACGCACTTGTGTTATTCCAATATTTAAGCTAGACTTAACTTGAATATATTCTTCTCGATCCGAACAGTTTTTCCTGCGATCAACTCGAATATGAGATAGTAATGATCTAAAAATTGCAGTAATCTCAAGCTTATCAGGCAATGAAAAAGGCAGGTGCTTGCTTCTTCTTTTTAGTGTTTATTTTGGTGTTGCAATTCAACAAGCAACATCAACAATCTATTAGCAAGACTACGATAGAAAAACATGCACATGCAGGTAGTTTAAAAAGACATGATGTTGGCTAAAATATGTTCAACAGTCATTAAAAATATTAGTTGATAATCGTTAGGTCAAATATTCAGATGCAGGCGAGTTCTTCCATTGACGCAAAAACAACGCTATCCATTTCTGTTTTATTTCTCTTTATTCGTCTCTAACATTATATGCAACTGAAGTAAATTCAACTCTTAATGTATATAGGCCTTCATTTGGATGCTCGGACCAGTAAATGAGGTACAAATGACAAAATGTACAGTTTACGTTTGTCATTTTTGATGAAGTTACCATTTTTCTATAAAATTAAGTATTTTACTATAGATTAAGACTAACCAAATATACACATGCTTTTCATATAATGATAACAGTTTTATGGACATGCACTCTGAATATTGTCTAACAAGAAATGCATATATGCACATTGTGACTTGGGTAGAGAGTTCTCTCATTGGCACTCATACCACATCTTCTTATTTCTATGTCAACTTGGTTTTAAATATTCAATTGTGCATCTCTACGTCGTATAAATAAGTTAAGAAAATGATAACACAGACAGATGGCTTGAAGCAGATGATAATGGAAACATTAGATATGTCTGGACAGCATGTAGAGCCTAGACAACTGGTTATGCGCCATTATGTATCAGTCCTCATTGACCAATATGTCACAACGATTCGAAAGTCCATGAAATCAATTCAGCAAGGTATTGATTTTTTCAGAGACATGTTACATTTATCATTTGTGATCAATCGTTGTTTGCTCGTGCAAAATCGGAACAGTCCAATTGAGCAAACATATATCTAGCGGAACAAAGAATAGCTTTTTGGTCTTCGTATAGAAATGGCATCGTCAAAAACCTCATGTGCTTGGTTAGAAAACAGTTGTTGAACGAGTGCTCAACAAATGAAACATAGTACTTAATGAACAGCAGTTTCGGTTTAGATGCTCTCATGAATCATAAACAAGACACTTCAATGGAGTTACAGTAGGTGTACTTCTCATACTGTTATTAATTAAGATCCTTACATAATTTTTACTGAGGAACGAGACCCTAGTCAGTACTACGTAGCATTCAAAGAATGGAGTAATAAGAGGAAAATTGACAGTCAACTTATCCACATGATATTATGCCATTTTACTATACAGTTTACGTGTTGCAAATGTTTTTTGTTGTTGTTGATATTGGTTAATGTTGATTTATACACTTGTTAAAGGAAGGAATAGGTGGGGCAATCAGATTGACAATCAATAACGCACCACTGAAACATTTATTATTATACTTCCTGTAAGAATGTCCTTCTATAGTAAAATTGCTCTATTTTTGTATAGTTTCATTTGTTACAGAAAAATAGTTCTGACCACATCACTGTTTTTTTGTAAGTTATTGAGTACTATGGAAAATGTTAATGAAAATGAAATGGAAGGGGTATGGGATAAACCTTGTTTAGACAAAATCCAAAACAATACCGGGCAATCAAAGATATGACACGATGCCTTGTTTGGTACTTCTTCATCTTGAAGTCAACATGACTTCATGCCTTCAACAATGAGCAAAATAAAGGTACCTCATAACAAGTCTAAGACAACCTTTAGCATCAGCTTAAGCAGAATTCTACTTGTTTAACTAGTCAATAATGATTTATATTCAGAAAGAGTTAAAATCAATCATTTCACCTCAAAACACATACTTTTTAATATATTTATTTGTAACTCTTTCTAACAGTCAAGTAGATAAAATCAACTTTCTTTAAGCCACCATATATATATGCAGAGTTACATAAAAGGCTTCTTTTCATACTATAAAGCATTTTTTTTTTACATAGAAATACATAATTAGCACTATTTGAAATAGTAAACAGTCAGTATAATAATGATATTAATGTTGTGTTTAACATTGACTATGGAAAATAGTAGCCAGGGTCGTGCACTATTGTCTCTCACCCTGGCTACTTTTTTCGCATAGTCAATGTTAAACACAACATTATTATGTAAGTAGTGTTTAATCTAGAAATGACCAAAAAGCAATTAACAAGTTTCAATCCAGCTTTGAAATAATATAATGTGATCAGGTAATCCACACTATGTTCGACACCAGAAATGGTTTAAAAGCAAAAACACAACATTCTCAAAGCATGTGAAAAGATTTTTTTTTTTGGGGGGGAGGGGGGGGAAGGGGGGGGGGGGAGGTTTCGACCTTTTACCCAGAATGCTACTTCGATGACACTTTGATACCCTGTTGGACAGTTATCACAAAGTATAAGCATTTTGTAATGAGCTAATAAATTGTGGTTAACAGATATAAAACAGATTTCACGGTAGATTATAATGTGTCAGGACAATAACGTTATGTACGGTTCTATTGAAAATGTGGTGGGAAGAGAGACAAAGACTAAATGAGCTGTCCGTAAGAAACACTATGAAAACTGCTGTGCAAATATATTGTTGTTTAGATAATAGAAAAGACGGAAAAGATACATATAGGGACTCACAAATCATTAGTAAAACAAAACGGGATAAGAGCATGGATTAAAACCGCAAGAAGACTAAAAGCAGTCAAGAAATCACTACACACAAATCTTAAAATTGAGCAACACCAACCCCACTCAAGTTCGTCTTTTCATCACACTTTTGAAATTTTACAACCTGATATATTTAGTTTGCACAAAACTTTGTACAAATGATATATTTTAATTAACTTTGGCAAAGCATTGACTGTGTCTTATATGCAGATTACAGTATGCATGCACTTATACATTGGCTATTCTAACCCCCAAATTAGAATATAATGTAAATTTTTCATAATTTTTATTATAATCTTTAACATATAATGTTAATGTACATACCCGACTTCGCTTTTAATCCGAATTATTGTGTGCGTGTCCAAAAACAAACCAATTATTTTGTGCGTGTCTCAAAGCAAACCAATTATTTCATGTGTGTCCCAAAGGCAAACATGAAATTTGGTATTGCCTTTTCTTCTACACCTCTTCTTAGAATTTATTGGAACTATCTCAGGATCTGAACCATATAATGCTATAATTTTGAATCTAATATTTGAATATGATGTTTATTCAATATGAAAATTAAGAAATAAACATAACAGAATAAAATTATCGAACTTACCTTAAATACGTGCAATGGTGTCAAGCCTTCCTGTGTCTATGACGTCGATCATTTCTATTCACAAAAAGCAAAGGAAAATTAATGGGTCACATGACTAAGCTTATTTTGATATTTTGTGTCCTATCTGACGATCATTGTAGGCTTACTTTTCAATGTATTTTTACATTGCATGACAGTTTATTATTGAATAATTTTTCCAAAGAATTAAATTCAACATAATTATTTTTACCTGTTTTAAAACTGCATTTGTTTGCACCTGTCCTAAGTCAGGCACCTGATGTTCATTGCTTGTCATTGGTTGATGTGGTTCATAAGTGTTTCTCGTTTGTCGTTTTATTTTATACAGGCGGAAACCCAGTTGAATTTAAACAAAAGAAATGGAACTCTTTGTTAGAGAAAGTTAAAAAGGCAAAGTTAGCAAATTTGAATTATTTACATCGGTTTCTATGGGCTTTAAAAGTTTAATGAGTGTCTAATTTAGCATTTTATGCATCTTATGTATGTGTTTTTACTTAAATTATTGAATTGAGCTTCGAGATATTTGTAAACTTTTAAATTATAGACAAATTTTCAAAAAAACAGTCGATTATGGTAGGTGCAAATTTTCGTGGATCTTTTTTGTACACAAGCATAAATTCCGCCTAAAAAATTTCCAAAGAATGATTATAGATTTATTTTCTTAAAGCATCAATTTGCATCTCTGCCTCCGGTGACAGTTTTTTTGGGGAAAAAATCCCCAAAGTAGGCAATAATTTCTTGAAAAGAGAAAGTAGAGTTCACCTTTTTAGGTTTAGGCGTGTTTGAGTTGACTATACTGTCTTGAAAACGTATAAAAGAAAAATATTTGATACATCATCCCGCTTCAGATTCTATTATTTTTATATATTTAGGCTGTAGGTTGATACAAATACATTAAAAATTTACAATTCTAAAAGATGAAATATTTGGGTCAAGTGAAATACCTTTCTAATGAGTCATAACAACAGAGTAGGCGTGTTCGAATAACAAATTATTTACTAAAAGTACTTGACGACAAACTTTTCTGGTGGATCTTGAAAATGCATAACTTAAAAAAAACTTTATTTTTTTGTGCGTATTATCTAGGGTAATAAGTCTTCAACCTCTGGAAATTTTTAGTTTGCCCTGCCTCGAAATATGTAATTATATTTTTTTTTAAATATTTTTGAACTTTCGAAAATTCCCCCTGACAACCGATCAGACAATAGTTTTAAGTTGATCAAATGCATAAAAGTACATTAAATGATGCTCAATAGCTAGTAGATACATTTGTCTTTAAAAATACAACTGGCATATAAGGATCGTAATGATACTATGTGGATAAATTTATCGGTTTTATAGAGCTAAATTGACAGCATGTCATCACTACAATGGCTTCCATATTTACGATTTTAAAAATTAAGTGGCGTAATGGGGAGATAATTTTGACAAAGAAGAATCCTGACTGAGATGTAATCATGTGTATGCAATATTTTGGAGGACTGTTTTTTTTTCAATTTTGTTTATATTTTATTTCCTAGATTTCTCTTAATTGCAGAATTTTTTTGTAAGACAAAGACGTCACGACTGTTATTCGGGATTTAAAGTAATCTCCATATCAAATATTTATATAGGACCAGTATTTCTTCCACAGTCTAAACATGCTATTGCTAAAGATATTTAAAAAAGGGTTTCTCCTATTTAGTTTCTATAGAATAAAACTAAATATCTCGTATTGATGGTTTTCTTGGATTCCAGGTTTGCATTAAAATCAACATTTTAAAAATCAAATTTTCTATAAATATAATGTAAGTTTTACTGACTTTTACTATGATATACTTTCCGTATATATACGGCAATCAGATCAAAACCTATTGTTATGTCCAAAAGATTTCAGTAATTTGTAATGCACGATCAACACACTGATGTTGAGTAAATTAAAGATAGTAGGAAAAATTATAAAACTTCCCTTACTCCTTTTGAAGCTCAGTTTTTTGTTTGTTACCTTGATTTATCTCTTCTTAATCGGTGTATGAGATTTCAACATCGGTAAATACTGTCGCGTTAATTTAGGGTAATGGTGGACTAGAATTGGTTTGAAGAATGCGTTAAGATGTAATAATACATATAAAGGAATTACATTAATCGCCATAAACACTACACAGCAAAACAAACCACATCAACCACCATCACCCGACTGCTCCTACAATAAACACAGACATACAAATAACACATGGTTAAGAAAGCCTGACTTCTGACTTGTACGTGCGCACGAATATCCCCTTAGCGAATATAGACCGATCACCGTTAAGCTAAAACACATAATAAAGAAATGCACAGTAAATACACCAACATGATGACCACTCACTTTAACAAAAACAAAACTTTCAAACAGCACATAAATTAGAAAGCAGGGTCAAAATATGCTCGCTACTACAGAGAGCTATCTAAGGTACATGTACCTATTTCTGCAGGATGGTAAAACATTATGCTGTCCTTGTAATGTATTGTTAAGGTACAATAGTTTAGTGATACAATTAATATTATTACATGTACAAATATATGATCCATATTTAAACACTTTCATATCTTGATAATATGCACCTCGATCCATTACAATGGAGAGGCAAAAGGTACCAAAGGGACATTCACAGTGGCGGATCAGACGTTTTTATAAGAGGGGCCCACTGACTGCCATTAGAGGGGGGCCCGCTACAGTCATGCTTCAGTGATTCCCTATATAATCAACCATATTTTTCCAATGAAAGGGGGGCACCGGCCCCCCAGCATCCCCCCGGATCCGCCTATGATTCAACTCATGTCGAAAATAAACTGACAAAGCCATTGCAAAAAAAGAAAAAGACTTAAAGACAAACAACAGTACACAAAACACAACATAGAAAACTAAAGACTGAGCCCACCAAAAACTGGGGGTGATCTTAGGCGCTCCGGAAAGGTAAGCAAAATCTGCTCCCGTCGTGTTGCTCAAGTAAGTACAAAACTCGGTGATAAGTCTAATTCGGTAGGTCAAATTCGGTGATAAGAGGATGGGATTGTAGTTACGACAATTGGAACATATCCGTCGTCATCTGTGAAACAGATATTCCATAACGGTCGACCAACTCGTGATTGCGTCCGTAAATTTACGAAAGGATGATTTCAACTTCACCACTTGGAACTCTTGGTTTAATAGCTTCTTTGTTAGCAGCAACCCTCTATCAAGTAAATTATGATCGAAAATACAAGCCCTGGAATATCGAATCAATTAGGAGATATATACTCCATATGCCAGCGCTGCTGGAATGTTGCTACATAGAAATCGAAAGTTAACAATTGGAAATCTGAAATCATCTCGTTTGTCGTAAAGTTTTATATTCAACCGACCTGAATTACACCTCAACATTACTCCTGCATGAATCCTTCAAGTCTATGTAAATCTAAGTGCTACTTTTTGCATCAAGTTTCCTTGAAATCAATAGCACTATTTTAGATTTTAGATTTTAGATTACGTTGAAATAATAAAAAAAGTTATTGTTGCGTTGGACACTTATTGCCGGAATGATTTTTTGGACAAGGAACCGATTAATTACGAACGTAACAATAACATTTGTTTCCACGGTTACGTTGCGTTATTGTTACGTTAGATTTATTAACTTTTCACCTACTATAGTTTTGTTGCTTAATTCTTCTATCAATTAACTTGATAATAATAATAATAATGATGATGATGATGATGATGATCATGATGATGATGATGATGATGATAATAATACTTATCATTATTAATATTATTATTATTATTATTAATATCAAGTTGATAGATATTAATAATAATTATTATTATTATTCCACAAATAAAAAAGTTCGATGAAAACTGGTCTCAGATTCGATGCGCAATGAGTGACAAAGATATGATTGAGAGAGATGTAATCCGGGAAGAAAAACCAAATGTACCATTACTGATATGTATCACGTTTCATGTACTACGGAAAGTTACTACTGAGGAGCGAGGAATATCAAAAGACGAAAGTAAATTGGCTCTTAAATTGCTGCAGAAAATGGCATATGCTAGGTCAGAAGCCAGCTACTGAGAATGTTACCATGAACTGAAAGACGCAAATCTCGAATAAATAAAAAAAAAAACAAGTAAGAGTGAAAAAAAAATTAATTGAATGGCACTATTAATTAATTAATGCTTGATTATATTGATGAACTGTTCAAAAGAGCATGTTCTGTCGCCAATAAGAACGAAATTGCGATCAAAAAAACATCTGGACTCAGAAAATGAAAATAGGTTCATCTTCAGCTAAACACTGTTGACACCTGTCGGCAAATGTCAAAATCAATTGCCTTCACAAATACGTTCTCGGCTTGTATTTTTAAGTCTTATTGTTTTTCCCATTTCAGCCATGCGAAGTTGGATATTGAAATCAGAGATGGACATAACATCAGTAATGGAAGGAAATGAGAAAACGTAAAACAACCTCACATGTTTCCAACATTGAAAAATGTTATCGTCCAACATTGAAAAATGTTGGACGATAATACAAACATTTCAAGAATAAAAAAAGTATTTTTCACCTGAAGCATGGCAAACATTGAAAGTTGCTATAACTTTAAAAAGGGATATTGCAGAGTGGAACTGTTTAGTCTTCAAAACCGACGTGCACATTGCACATACAAGATGTGAAGAAGCTGCCATGGTACATAAAATAAAAAAATGTGTAAGCAATATTGTAGCATTGCAGTGTTTAGGAATAAATGTTTTCAAGTTGTATTTGAATACATATTACTAATCCCAGCATACGTTGAAGTGCATTAACGTAACAATAACGCAATGTAACCGTAGACACAAATTTTATTGTTACGTTCGCGATTAATCGGTTCATAACCCAACCTAGCATTCCGGGAATTAATGTCCAATGTAACAATAACGTTTTTATTATTGTTACATTTCAACGTAATCGTAGCCAGTGCCTTTTAGATTTGCAATTATAAGACAACCAAACAGGTGGACAATCAAAAGTGAATCCAATATGGCCAATATGTCAATTCAAAATAACTTCTACACTTCAACAGGTGTACTACAATGTATTGAAAAATACTGTAGAAAATTCATTAACAGTTGTTTAATTAGATTCTACTCTCTGCAAGTTGGCGTATAAAGAAAGTTCTGTTGTCAACAACTGACTGACATATAATGTCAATGAAATCAAGATCAATAGAGAAAGTTTGTCATTCTATTACTGACACTAGGAACTCCTCTTTTCTTATCATGGAACTATATGGCTATAGGTGAATCACTGATATTAAACTAGTTGATGAACTTACAATGGTATGTTTAAAAATAATTTGGTGTACATGTAATAGCATATTCATTCAATAAAAGAAAACAGTTCCAATGTTCTCCGTGTCGCACATATTTTATCTGTTCAAGGGCAATGATTAAAAAAACTTTTTTTTTTTATTTTTTTAACTTTTTATAAATATATCAGAGAAATGAAAGCTTGAGAGCACTGACATTGCAATTTTCTATATTATTTGTATTTCCAAAGGGCATAACTCTTTTTAAAAAAGTTGATCGGCACTGATTTTTAAACACATCCGAGAAATTGCTGATATAAACCTTTGATAGAAATTTGATAAAAATCTGGCCAGAATTGTACATGTGAAAGGGCTTACAATGCAATTTTCCATATATTTAATATTCCCAAGGGCATAACTCTTGAAAAAAGTTAATCTACATTAATTTCAAATTTTTCCAAGACATTGCTAATAAAAACCTATGATATAAGTTTCATAAAAATCTGACAAGAATTGTACACATAAGAGTGCTTTCAATGCAATTTTGCATATAATTAATATTTCCAAAGGACATTGCTCTTTTAAAAATTGATGATTGGAACCGATTTTCAAACTAGTCTGAGACATTGCTAGTATAACCCTTTGACATAAATTTAATAAAGATCTGGCAAGAATTGTGCCTGTGAGAGTGCTTACAATGAAATTTTCTATATAATTAATATATTTTCAAGTGGCATAATTCTTTTAAAAATATTTGATCAGCACTGCTTTTCGAATTGTCATAGACGATTGCTGATATCAACCTATGATATAAGTTTTATAAAAATCTGGCAAGAATTGTACATGTAAGAGCAGTAACAAGATGAGACAGACAGACAAACAGACGGACAGACGCCCAGTATTAATATGTCCCCCAGCAACCCATCACACAAGGGACAATTACAAAATCCTTTTAACAAATGAACATAGAAAATAACAAAAGCAATATGGCTCCAATGTAATCAAAATCTAAGGTTACTGGCTTGGTTCTGTCAAGGGAATACTACGTCAACATAACAAAATATTCAAAATTATCTGACAATGTTCCTTGTAAATATATGGCAAATTCAGCAATTTTTCCATTTATAAAGAGACACAACTTGATTACAGTGAAAGTGAAATCACCCAATTCAAACTTGATCTGTGTTTTGTGGTAATAAGCATTATGAATACATTTCATAACATTTGGTTTAGGCAAACTTAAGGTACAGATCAGCAATCAATTTTGAGATGTACAGACAGGGTAATGCGCCGGTTGCTTTTTTTTCTTACTTTTTTGACTGTTTGTAATCCTATACTTGCACACTTTTAAACAGATTACACATGCTGCTGAAATGGTTCACCTGCTTAACTGGTCATGATTGATTTGATGCTGAAAGTCTTTAAGATAAAGTTTTTACTGCAAGTATCACATAAACTTAACATGATCAATGATCCATACAGATGTCATGGTAAGATGAACACTGCCAGACAGACATGAATACACCTTAATATACTGCAGCTGTGCTATTTGAGCAGTCAAATTGCATTGACCGTCTAATCATTTGTGATATACAGTTACTGACCGTATATCGCCTTGTTTATGACGTTGACAATGCGTTTCCGTAGAGTCTTATTTATGACGTCATTAAAAGTACAGGTTCGCAGAACTTTTACTTCGTTTGGTCCAAATTAAAAAATGATGGTTTTTATCCTATAAATATTTCAGTTGTAGGAGTTGCAGTATATAAAGAATAACCATAAATTGTCTCGAAATATAAATTTTATTTGTACTTGGGTCAAACCAGGATAGTAATGCTTGACAGAGCCTTGCTTTCTACCTGTTTCTAAGCCTTGTACAAATGAAATTTATATTTCGAGACAATGTATAGTTATTCTATATGAATACAATCATTCCATACACCAAATATAGTTGACATACTGGAAAATTGTAAATAGTATTCAAGAAACAGACCTATCCTCAAAAATGTAACATTGACCAATGAACCATGAAATGAGATATACAGACATGTACACCTTAAAATCTTTTCGTATCCCAAATATAGTTGACCTATTGCTTATAGTATCTGATAAACAGACCGAAACACAAAAACTTAACATTGACCAATGAACCATGAAAATGAGGTGATAGTCAGATGAAACCTGCCAGATGGACGTGTACGCCTCATTCCATACACCAAATATAGTTGACCTACTGCGTATGGTATCTGCGAAACAGACCAAATCATGTATTTTTTTTACCTTGATCACCGATTCATGAAATAAGGTCGTGGTCAGGTGAACTATGTCTGACTGACATGAAGACCTTGCAAGGATCCCATGTAACAAATATTATCATTCTATTACTAATAATAAGTGAAAAATTCACACATGACAAAAAAACTATAGTTTTTTAAGCAATCACTGAACCATGAAAATGAGGTCAAAGACCATGGACATATGACATACGGAAACTTGGTAACATAAGGTATCTGCATTAAAGGTATGAAGCATACAGGTGTTCTACCATCTGAAATATTAAGCTTTATACAAACAATTTATGCTGACGGCAGATTGCAATCCTCGTGTCTCACATTCTGTGACTTTCGTAGCAGGGGAGACAACAAAACACAAGTCTTGGTGTTAAATGTTTTATTTGATGCGTTCATTAGCGAGTCTAAGAACAGTTAAATCATATTCTAACCAGAAGAAGCCTAAATCAATGCCAAATACAGAATGCATACTACTTCAAATACAAAATTTGTAATGCTTTCATTTGTCAAGGCACATTTTTCTTAAAATTAAAAAATTCTGAATATTAGCTTTGAACATTATTGAACTGCAAAGCAAAATAAAAATATTTTTAGTACTAAACAGAAGACTTTTTTTGAAATCTGGTTGAAGTGAAATTGTTCTCTTACTCCACTGACATAAACAAATAATATTTTAACCATTGTCTTACTCTGTTGTAGTTGAATTTGAAATATTATATTAATTTTTTTATTATAGGTGTTTCAGTCTGCATTGAATGGACGAGAGGCCATGAAACTTGTACAAAATTAGACTTTTAAAATATACATGATGCAACAAGATTTTTTATTCATGTTATGATAATTGGACGGATGCAGAATAAATACACATATATAAAAAATATACAACAAATACTGAAAAACTCACAACCATTTTGTTTTAAAAACACTGATGCAAAAGGAATGATAAAATATGATATGTCATCTTAAAACAAGTTTTCACAATATGGATATATTCTATTTGCAGAAAACATATGCACACATTATTAGATATTTAAACAATTATTTTTTAAGTTTTAAATTTTATGCCTTACAATAACATTTAATTTGTTGTAAGAAAGCACTGTAATACTTTAGCACTACTTATATACTAGTATTCAACTTTTGTCAATCTTGTCTCGAATTAGTTTCTTTTAACACATTCATTTCACTTTATATATGATTAGTTTTTTTGTTTAAAATATCTTATATGCTAATTAATTTACTTTCATACCACTTCATTTAACTTTATCATGAAATGAGGTAGATCAAATAAATTGAAGATTTTAGAAAAAAACTATATTAATATTTGTTTTAATGTTTTTATATCAAAATCTAGATTCCTTCATTGTTGTACCTCATCGACACCAAAAGAAGTTATTCACCATAACTTCTACATGTACAAATACACTTATGTAACATGCTGGTTCATAACGTCAGTCTGCATGAAGATAGCACACCTTACCTGGACACTTATTCTGACAGCTTGCGAAGAAATTGAAATAGAACCATGGACTTGCAAGAAGATTGGTTAACACATAACTGGTTTATGGTGTAAAAGTGTTATAAAAGGTACAAAGAAAAGATATGAAAATCAACAGTTATGCCATTTTTACATTTGTAACTCTATATAATAAAGATAGTTGCTAAAACTAAGATTTCAGGTTATTTTTAACAGAATTACAGTGGACAACAGGGAATGTAATTCAATTTAATATCTGGAATAAAATTAAAATGTAATTTTTGCAAAAATTATAATCCAGAGAAAACTTGCAACACAGCACACTTGAATTTTAATTGGGTTCATGGAGTAAATATATAAAGTGACCTAATAATTATTAATATGGCACCTGTATTGATATAGGCAAATATCTCGTTTAAAAAGCGATCAAGTCTTTGGTACTTTCAACTGAATACTAAAAACATATTTAAATTCTATAATATACAAGAAACTCCACACAATAATATAATGATTGTTTCAAATCTGTCAAGCAGTTAAAACAAATTTCATGTCTGAAATTATGACTCAGAGTAAAATTAACATTGAAAATCACCATTTACTTTTGTTAATTACTTAAGTTAATTTTTTTTCTGTGAATTTAATTTTAATTAAACACATCATCAAAACATCCAATAATTATCTCCCCTGTTTGTTATTTTGCTCAATAATTATACAGCCCATGTCATATCAAGTTTTATTGTCTTTAATTTCTTTTTTTCTAAATCTAAATCTTTGCAACAACCGTCTGGCTTTTTCAAAACTCATAAGACTTATATACTGAGCTATGGAATGAAATATGTTATTATAAACACTTGTGACTTTTAAAAAAAAGAAGTCATTTTTCAATTGATGCAATTTGAGCAAGATTTATTTCCCTTTTGTCAACATTTTGGAGGTCTACATGTCACCTTCATTATTCAGCCAAATTTAACTTAATTTACGGACAGTAACACTTCAGAAAAAGTTGTTTTCTGATAACTTTAATTTCTTTTAACTTTCTTACTTCATCACTACGATATAGTTAAGGATGAACTAAGTCAGCTTAATGAATTTTTTTGTCAAATGTTCGGACTCCTTGGTTTTTTCCTACAATACAGGGTAAAATATTTTGCCCCATAACACCCATTTTTCTTTTCATATAAGACTTCAATAGCTCATAAGAGGTCATTTACCAAAATTTAAGCAGATTCTAGATTTCTTTTCTTTCGATTTGAGGCCCAAATAATACCTATGCAAATATAAGGTAAAAGTCCGAGTCAGCCTTTTCCCGCCATTTTTAAAAAAATTAAATATCTCGAAAAGGAGCTCCATAACCTATCAATATTTTAAGCTTATTTTGTTCCTTAACTAATGCTCTTCTGACTTATAGTATCAATTTTAAATTCTAGATTTTTTAAATTTCACCTAAGTACATCCTTAAGATCTCTTATCAGACTTTTTTGAACCACATATTTCAATTTAGTAAGTATAAATTAAGAAAGACAACCATTTACATTTCCAAATTGGCTGCCAAGGGAAATAACTCAAAATCAAATTATGTCATATATCGAAACCTTATTTATACAGCTATACAATATTGAACTTTTATATATATATGACATGAAAAAATAGAACTACTATGAGCATAGCATATCACAGACATCAGGAGAATGGACGGAATTTATCAATGAGCATGAACAGGGTTTAAAAGCTGTTTTTTCATACATCTAACATCAATGGACAAGTACAGTTCAAAATCCAGTAGTCCTTGAAATTGTAAAATCAGTAAGAACCAAATTGGGGGATTCTTCAGTCAATTCTGGGTAGCCAGCTGGAATATTTTAGATGATGTTTTGTAGTCCTCGATTTCTTGCGAAAAAAATATGTAGCAATAGACTATGAACGACTAATCTTGATGAAACCAAGTATAGCTGAGCAGTAACATACACCATTAACAAATATATGGCTTGGGATCATGCACTATTGACAACCCTGACAAAGGTGAGTAAAGCTGAGCACAAAAAACACCTGATTGTGTCTTATTCTATAAACAGATAAGTCCAGGCCTCATGCACTGTTGACAAAATCAATGATCATCACAATGCACCATCTTCATGTTTAAAATGTCACTTCTAAGTTAAAAAATGTGATAAATATCCTAGTTATTATTGATCCTAACACAGTCGACCGAGCACTAAATTGTCTTCCTTTCCACCAACAGCAAATAATCTTCCTCCCATCGTAGTATCTAAAGCATGAACAGCATTCTTCATCTGAATTTCACCAATTTTCTGTAAAATTAGATAAAGTCAAACTGTTATGAAAGTTATGGCAGTATCAGAAATATGGAAAATGTTGGATATTACAACAATATAACAAGTCACATGCATATAATGAAGAAACATAAAGTTAAAGATGGTTTAATTTCTCATGGTTTTCTTTCTAAGATTGATTTCTAAGGGGATTAATTTTCATAGTTTTAAGTTTGAGAAAGTCATGTTCTTATTTAAGATAATATTCATTTTAAATTTTCTCTTCATGGATAATATCTAATCCCCCAATAAACATAAATCAAAACTCCCAACATAATTTGTGGTATGACAGTATTTAAATTTATTTGAAATATAGTACTTTTGTTCTATTTTGAATTTTACATGAAAATTCTGTCTTTAGAAGTCATTTTATGAATTTTGTATCAACATTTGGTACAGATTTGTTACAAAAAGATGTTTGCAAATAACTGATATTTAACCATATGATAAAAAAATCATTGACAATAGTAAATTATAAGCTCTGCTCTGGTTTGACTTTGTATAACTTAAATATCACATAAGGCTGTATGGTTCTTATAATATAACTTCCATTTTTTATTTATTGCTTTTAAGGTGTTGAAAAAACTTTCTGATACCTGTGACTTTAATTATTGCCCAACACTGTATACCTGCCCACAAATCCTACCTCACCTGATTTATTGCCTAACACTATTAATACTCCTGCTCCAAATCCTACCTTGTCTGTGACTTTATTTATTGCCTAACACTGTTAATATCCCTGCTCCCAAATCTTACCTCACCCGTCGCATTATTTATTGCCTAACACTGTTAAAACTCCTGCCACAAATCTTACCTTGCTGTGACTTTATTTATTGCCTAACACTGTTAATATCCCTACTCACAAATCTTACCTCGCCTGTGACTTTATTTATTGCCCAACATTGTTAATACTCATGCCCCAAATCTTACCTCGCCTGTGACTTTATTTATTGCCTGAACACTGTTCGTACCACTGCCTCCTGCCATCACGACATCATTGTCACAATACTGAGCACAATATAAGTAAGCACCAGAATGACCTTTGAAATCGAATGGTATATCTTTGGCCTTTCCTGAGGTCCAGTCCCATTCTTGTAGGGCACTCTGTCCAACCCAGGAACCAGTCAAAACGGACCATTCCTGTAGAAAACATTGGAATCAATATACTGTCTTAAAGTTGCAGTTAGGTGAGATTTTTTTGCTCCATGTTGAAGGCCTCACTGTGACTTTGAGATGAAGAACAATAATAAAAGCGCTGTTCCTTTGCTTTTTGTGTTTTTTTTTTGCTGTGCATGTACTGATTTTGTGTCATGGATGGATACCCAATATCCTTTGTTTTTCTATCATAAAGCATAGGAAACATGAATTACTTTCTCCATCGAAATGAAATTCTCTATAACACTGTATGTTTTCACCAAATTTGTTGTTGTTGATAAACATGAAAGATTGAAAGAGTAGGCATAAATGTAACAAGGGTGACTATAGTGATGTAGGGACTGGTTATTCTTCTTCTTCTAGAACATTTTATTTCTAGTTTTACCCTGTTTACTTATATGGTTTGTGTTGCTTAATCTTTAGTTTTCGGTTTAGTGTTTTTTGAACTGTTGTTATATTGTAATTTTTTTTGGACTATGTTGCTGTCTATCCTTTTTTCTACAGTGGATTAATTTTGATTCGTTGGAAACCAATTTTCATGGATTTCATGTGTAAAGGTAAGCCACAAATTTGAATGTTCAACGAAGTACACATTTTCTATTGGCATATGTGCAGATCTAGACTAAAGGAAAACCAGGAAATCAAATATCTTCGATCACACAACTTTCTCACAATCTACGAAACAATTGGTGTCCATGAAAATAAATGAACCCACAATAAATGGTTCTTTATTGTTCCTTGGTTCATCTACTGTATCTTATTCAGTCATTTCTTAAATATTGAAGGATTCAATTTGAAAGATTGATTGATTGATTGATTGTTGGTTGCTTAACATCCAGTGGCAAATATTTCATGCATGTTCAAGACGATCTTCTTGAAAGAAGAACTAAGGTTAAAGTAGAGGCTAACCTTGCATTTTTTGCATAAAAATGATGCAATGCAATGGGAATATTTCAGATAGTATCCAGCAAAAATACAAAAATAGGCAAAAATCATCATTCAGTGGACTGATGATTTGTCATGTTGACTTATTTGTAGATCTTATTTTGATCTTATCTTGCAGACCTTTTTATATCTACTGTTTCTCTTTATCTACTTTAATTTCTGGGTAAAAAAGAGTAATACTTGCCATACAAGGGCAATAACTTGTATCAAGAGCCAACTGATGATTTCATCCATGATTATTTGTATTTCATATGTGTTCAAAAACATTTTTTTCTAGAAACAAACCTTAAGATCTATACTATCACCACATATATGTGGACCATGCATTGTTCTCTGTACACCATTATTTGTAGTATGATCCCAGATCTAAAAATAAATTCATATTTTATGACATATACTACTAAATCAGCTAAAAAACTTATGTCTAAAGATTCATTATCATCCATGGAATACTATTTTCACTGATTTTAATTTAACCACAATTTTAAGTTTTTAACAAAGGTTTTACTGTTACAAATTCAGTTTACCTAAAGATAAATATCAGACCTAGATAAACCGATATTCATGACAGTAAAACATACTTTAACATAGGCCCAGCTTAAAATTTAATACAGTTATCCCTTACCTAATGCAAAAAAAATCCATTTAAGGTAGATGGGGTGTCTAAATTATAATCCATAGAATTTTTTAATAATTTGCCAAAATGTAGTTTATATCAAGCTTTTTAAAAAATTATGATAAAAAGAATGGGTCACGGGGCTTATTTTCACGCTACAGGTTGTTCAAAATTAACAGATTTTGTATAGATTATGCATGGAAAACCCAATTTTCTGCCATAAAACGAAAACTGCACCATAGAATTTTGAGATAAAATATGAGAAGATAGCTTTAATAGTATGCTTTCAGATAAGAAAAAGAAAAAATGGGGTCACTGGACCCGTTTTCTTGCTACATAAAAAAATAGATAAATTCCTAACACATTCTATTGTAAAAGTACCTTTATCTGAATTATCTGCCCTTACATTTGAGTTGCCTCCCCTTATGTGGCAAAGTTGGAAAAAATTGAATCAAACAAAAGTTTTCTGTTTTTTGTAAAATACAACCATAAATATGATAAAACATGTCATTTTCTATATTGAAATAAAAATTCTTACACATGAATTACCTACTACTCTCAAAATTTGCACATTATATTAAAGATCTAGACCGATTGTTTTCAGGTATTACAAAATCCAAGATGGAGGAAGACACCCTATCTACCTTAAGACATTATTTCTGTATCAAAAATTCGTAAATTTAAACTTTCTTCTCTATAACTAACAAGTTTGACATTATATTGAACATACATGTTGCTATCTTATTTAACTATTGTGTGCATTAAAACAGCAATATTACTATTTCTTTATTATAACCTGGTTTACAACATCCATAATATCACCATGGAAATGATTATGTAGATATTTTACCTTTAAGTGGTTTTCCCATCCACCAGTTACAAATATATTAGGTTTATCTGGGTGATATTTAAGACTGAAAACTCTCATGGCACAGGATGCAATCTCTGTCGGGTTCTGTGTACTGTCATAACCACCATAGGTTTTGTCTAACTATAAAATACAAGAATGTGTCCATAGTACACGAATGCCCCACTTGCACTATCATTTTCTATGTTCAGTGGACTGTGAAATTGGGATCAAAACTCTAATTTGGCATTAAAATTAGAATGATCGTATCATAGGGAACATGTGTACTAAGTTTCAAGTTGATTGGACTTCAACTTCATCAAAAACTACCTTTACCAAAAACTTTAACCTGAATCGGGACAGATGGACGGACAAACAGACGAACGGACGCACAGACTGAAAAACATAATGCCCCTAGATGGGGCATAAAGATAATCAAATCTATATTTTAAATAAACGTTTTAAAATCTAACTTCAAAGAAAAAATTCTGAAAATAAAAAATACACCATATTTAAAAATATCATTGTATTTTGACCTCTAGTTGTATTGTTTTTAAAATTATTTTAATGGGTTGCTGTCTCATTTAGATAAACCTTACACTTCCTTTCAGTCTCACTGAAATACGAATAAATGAGATGTATGGTATATATGTCAGTGAGATAGCAAAATGATAACACAGAAAAACTAAAGGAATTAAACAACCAACTAATAGAGTAGACCCTCATAATCATACACATTATCAAAATAATGCAAAATTGCACTGATAATAAATTTTCAGTTGTACTTTTAAATTCGTTGTAAAATTGGGCCTATAACTTTCATAAATCTTTGTCTAACGGCCTATGGGTTAATTAATTCAAAAACTTTTAATATCCTGTGTAGTTCTAATTATAAATGTACCAATAAATTTACCAGTTACTCTAGGTTCATCTTTTTATAAAAGTGGACCAAAGAAGGTCAAAATTGCAAACTTTGTTGATGCATGAGATATTTTGTGAGACTGTTTACAACTTTGCAGTTTATACATGTAACTGCTACTGAGATGCCTTTTAAAAGCAGGTTTAATTGTGTTAACTAAATCAGATTGACATTTAAATCTATTTCAATACAAATCCTTTATTTAGGTATTTGGTTAATAATCAAGATCATATCTTTATTATACCAAATATAGAACAAATATGTAAATGAGTAAACAACTAATTAACATAAATGTACTTTGACACGAGGGTCAAGTTATTTGTCTACATATATATATCTTAAAAGGGGAGTCTCGGCAGAACTGTCACCATTTAAGGTGTAATACCACCAAATCATAGTACGTCACATCCGGTTGCATACGAAAATAGGTCGAAAAAAAATATTCCCTTGAATTTGACAGTTGTAGGTAATTGATCCTACATTTCATTGCAGTAAAACATTTCTGAGTCATAAACATATATCTTGGGTATTTCAAAGCACCATTATTTCTTTATTTGGGGTTTCTATAGAATATTTTGGAAACTTGAGGTTACATGGTTACTAAAGCTTGTACACAGGTTAAAAAAGGGGGAAAATTTGATTGGTTAACTTCCAGTGATGGTTATTTTCTTATATGCAATGAAATGTTATGTGAAATTTTTTCTATAGTACTGGACATGATAAATCTTTACTCATGCCAAGTATTTCTTTATTTGAAACAAAGATAAATTCTGCACAATTTTTTGAAAAGTGCAAATTTAACAAAGACTAATAGGGGGAAATCAATGGTGGTATTACACCTTAATACAATAACATCTGAGAAAAAAAATAATATAAAAAGATATTGTTTAATATGAAGATTAAAAATAAGATAAAAAAAAAAAATTGATTTTGATTTTAATGCAAGGTTTGGTTGAGGACTGTTCCATGTGTGCATAAAATATATTTATATATGTTTATCATGTTTATAACTATCTTTAAAATCTATACATTCTAAATACACATGTGTTAGGTTTTTTAAATTGGTGTGATGGCTGATCTTTTGAAGTCTCTAATAACTTAATGCACAACTTCTATAGAACCTTGACAATTGGGAGCTCAACATATTGTAAAGTAAAAGACTATGAACTTTTTATAGAACCTTGACATATTGTAAAGTAAAAGACTATGAACTTTTTATAGAACCTTGACATATTGTAAAGTAAAAGACTATGAACTTTTTATAGAACCTTGACATATTGTAAAGTAAAAGACTATGAACTTTTTATAGAACCTTGACATATTGTAAAGTAAAAGACTATGAACTTTTTATAGAACCTTGACATACTGTAAAGTAAAAGACTATGAACTTTTTATAGAACCTTGACATATTGTAAAGTAAAAGACTATGAACTGATCTCTTGCTTATTTGGTGTGTTGAGTTGCTGTCACATTGAGCATACCAGGTACATCTCCTAGCTTTTATTCATAGTGCTAAAGTATGTAGTTGTTAAGATGCCCAAAGTATAAAACTAGAGGCTCTCAAGAGCCTGTGTCGCTCACCTGTATTTACTGATACTTTGGAAATCATGTAAAATAAGGTAAAAATCATAATTAATAGTATTAGATATTAGATATTATAATGATATCTAAGATAATAACAAAAAACTGCAAAATTTCTGTAAAATTACTAACTCAGGGGCAGCAACCCAACAACGGGTTGTCGGATTCGTCTGAAAATTTAAAGGCAGATAAATCTAAATCTGATGAACATTTTTGCCACCTGTCAGATTTGCTCTAAATGCTTTAGTTTCAGAGATATAAACCAAAAACTGCATTTTACCCCTATGTTCTATTTTTAACCAAGTCGGCCATGATGGTTGGATGGTGGGGTCATCGAACAAATTTTTTAAACTAGATACCCTAATAATGATTATGGCCAAGTATGGTTAAATTTGTCTCAGTAGCTTCAGAGAAGAAGATTTTTGTAAAAGATTTCAAAAATTTACGAAAATTTGTTAAAAATTGACTATAAAGGGCAATAACTCCTAAAGGGGTCGACTGACAATTTTGGTCATGACGACTCATTTGTAGATCTTACTTTGCTGAACATTATTGCTGTTTACAGTTTATCTCTATCTATAATAATATTCAAGATAATAACCAATAAAATGCTCCGCTGGGGCGCAGCTTGATACGACCGCAGAGGTCGAACCCTGAACAGTTGGGGCAAGTATGGACACAACATTCAAGCTTGATACAGCACTGAATTTGGATTGTAATTAAATATTTGACACAGCATAGGTTTCTGACACAGAATGAAAGTGGTCTAAGAACTTAAAAAATTTTAATTTACCTATTCAAACCATATCATTATTATTTGCTTTTATATATAAATCAGAAATAACCAATTTAAAATGGAAAATTTTAAAGAAAAAAAAGGAAAAAAAAATCCCCCCCCCAAATTTTTTAAACCCCCTTATGATTCATCACCCCCAAACTCAATCCCAGCCTTCCCTTTGTGGTATGGTACCTTGCAGCACAATTTCAGAGAGATCCATACACTTGAACACAAGTTATTGTCTGGAAACTAGAAAAATGCTTGTTTTTTGGCCCCTTATTCCTAAACGTTTAGGGCAATTACCCCCAAACTCAAACCCAGCTTTCCCTTTGTGATATGGAACCTTGCAGTACAATTTCATAAAAATCCATACACTTACACACAAGTTATTGTCATGAAACTAGAAAAATGCTTGTTTTTTTGCCATTTTATGGCGCATAATTCCTAAAATTTTGAGGCAATTACCCCCAAAATCAATCCCAGCCTTCCCTTTGTAGTATGGAACATTGTAGTACAATTTCATAAAGATCCATACACTTACACACAAGTTATTGTCATGAAACTAGAAATATGCTTGTTTTTTGCCCCTTTTTGGCCCCTAATTCCTAAAATTTGGAGGCAATTACCCCCAAAATCAATCCCAGCATTCCCTTTGTGATATGGAACCTTGTGATACAATGTCAGAGAGGAGATCCATACACTTACACACAAGTTATTGTCATGAAACTAGAAAAATGCTTGTTTTTTTCCCCTTTTTGGCCCCTAATTCCTTAACTGTTGGTACCATAACCCCCAAAATCAATCTCCACCTTCCTTTTGTGGTATTGAACCTTGTGGTAAAATTTCATTGAGATCCATGCACTTAAACTTAAGTTAGAGTGCGAAAACTAATGTGTCTTCGGACAACGACGACGACACCAACGTCATACCAATATACGACCACAAAAATGTTTTGGCGGTCGTATAAAAACTGCAAAATTTCCTTAAAATTACTAATTCAGGGGCAGCAACCCAACAACAGATTGTCAGATTTGTCTGAAAATTTCAGGGCAGATAGATCTTGACCTAATAATTAGTTTTACCCTAGGTCAGATTTACTCTTAATGCTTTGGTTTCAGAGATATAAGCCAAAATCTACATTTTACCCCTATGTTCTATTTTTAGCCATGGCGGCCATCTTGGTTGGTTGGTGGGGTCATCGGACACATTTTTTAAAACTAGATACCCTAATAATGATTATGGCCAAGTATTGTTAAATTTGTAACAGTTGTTTCAGAGAAGAAGATTTTTGTAAAAGATTACAAAAATTTACGAAAAATTGTTAAAAATTGACTATAAAGGGCAATAACTCCTAAAGGGGTCGACTGACAATTTTGGTCATGACAACTTATTTGTAGATCTTACTTTGCTGAACATTATTGCTGTTTACAGTTTATCTCTATCTATAATAATATTCAAGATAACCAAAAACTGCAAAATTTCCTTAAAATTACCAATTCAGGGGCAGCAACCCAACAACAGGTTGTCAGATTTGTATGAAAATTTCTGGGCAGATAGATCTTGACCTGATAATCAGTTTTACCCTATGTCAGATTTACTCTAAATGCTTTGGTTTCAAAGATATAAGCCAAAATCTACATTTTACCCCTATGTTCTATTTTTAGCCATGGCGACCATCTTGGTTGGTTGGCGGGGTCATCGGACACATTTTTAAACTAGATACTCTAATGATGATTGTGGCCAAGTTTGGTTAAATTTGGCCCAGTGGTTTCAGAGGAGAAGATTTTTGTAAAAAGCTAACGACGACGGACGAAGGATGACGACGACGACGGATGCCAAGTGATGAGAAAAGCTCACTTTGACCTTTGGGCCAGGTGAGCTAAAAATCTCAGTGGCATGTCCCCATGGAAAGTAAATACAAAAGTTTTTCAGACGTCTAAAATACTTATTTTCTCATTACATATAAGATATCAACATCTCTAAAATATTCAAAATATGTAGCTTCTTCATAATATATAGCAATGCCTTAAGTAATGTAGTTATAATTGGATTACTAAAAAAAATTTACATTTTTGTCACATTTAATTTTCATCTTTATTATCCCAATATTACAACAAATAGATTAATAATTGGATGTTAAAAAATATCAGTGGATACAATCATAAATATTCTCCTTAAAATAAGTTTTTACTCTGTGATCTTTTGTGTTTGGATTAGATTTATCTACATTTCAAGAAACAAATTATCAACTGTAATTTTAGCCTTCTAAACACAAATTTTTGACAACATTTTCAATACTTAAAATTCTTCCCTTTTTCAATAACAAATATGAGGTTCTAATAAATGATTAAAAAAATATTATTATAAGGTTTTAGCCTGTAATAAATTAAACTTTTACGACTGAAAGATTTTCAATAAAAATACCAAATCTCCAGTTAATAATTATGATAAAATTCAGACTGGGATCCAGTTTATACTGGTTCATAAACTTCATTTGCTATCAAAATATTTATTGTACATTATAACTCAAAATAAAACATAACAAGATGCTCCTTAGAGCCTGATTAGCTAACCTGTCAATATTTCCTGTTTATATAGTCTCCATGGATTTATCTTTTTTTTTTTTTTCAGAAATCTACCTATCTACTATCTTTTTTTTAGATAATAAGCAAAAATCGGAAAAAAGTAATTGAATCTACACTGAAGACAGAAAAACCTACTAAGGAGTGATAACTGTCATTTTTGATGTTCCGAGTTTCTTACTATACTTTATAGTTTTCCAGATGTTAGGCAAAGGGAAAACTCCTATAACAGGTCAATTGCAATTTCAACCATGTTGACATATTTGTAGATCTTATTTTGTTGAACATTTTTGCTCCTTATAATTACATTCTATTTATAGCACTCTGCAAAAGGTATGTAAAAATCATATTTTCAGGTTAATAACCAATACATGTACCTACAATATTTGCAAAAAATTGATATTTCTAAATATTCTGGAGCAGATAGACATTGACCTCAGCCAGATGATCATTTTTACTGTGTCAGTTTTGCTTTACCTACTTTTGTTTTCAGAAATGGGGAAAAAATGCATTTTACAACCCATGTTCTATTTTAAGCAACAGTGGCCATTTTTGTTAATGGATCCAATCCCCAGATAATTTTTTTTAAACTAAGCTACCCCAAAAACTTTCAGAGAAAGTTTGGTAACATTTGGTCCATTAGATTCAGAAGAGAAGATTTTTATGAAAGTTAATGATGACAGATGGATGGACAAACAAACGGATAACAAGTTAAAACAATGGCTCACATGGCCTTTTAAGTTTGGTGAGCTAAAAAGGATGACAGAAATCACCAATATTACTAGACAGTACAACAGACCATATTGCCCACCATCACCATCCTCAGAAAAGACAGATGTACAGATGTACAGAAAAACAACAAACAACACATGGTCTAGATAGCCTGATTTAGAACAGACACAAAATGTTGAGGTATAAGTTTTATGTGGGTTCAAACAAAGGTTCAATAGAGACAGATGTCCAGTATACACAGGTTACTGTGGAATCATTATTATTCATTGGATACCAGACATTGGCAAAATCACAAATCAAATATCCACGAAAATGAACGTTTTCTTCAATCCACAAAAACTGGTATCCATGAAAATAAATGAACCTACAGCAACCAGTTTTGATTGGTTTCAAATATTTGTACTAGGTAACACAGGACTCGTCTTTTTTTTAATAACTTACTTGAAATGTCTTAGTGTCATAAATTCTAACATTGAGATCTTTTCCAGCAGTAGCAAAGTTAAAACCCTCACAATCAAAATCTAAACAGTTGATTTCATTATTCTTCTCTGCAGAGAAAAATAAGTTCATAATAATATAAGCAATTTTTTAAAAGCAAAACTAAAGAATAATTCTTTTGCAATTTTCAATCAGTGAATCACAATAATTCCTTTTTCTTTAAACATTCATGATTTTTTTGCTTGTACAAGCACAAGTGTGAATATTTTAAAACATTTTTTTTTGTCAAAAAGTAAGTCATCAGTAAATTCCTGTATTGGTTATGGTTCATATAGCGTTTGTCAATAAGACGTTTTAATTTCTTGATTGTTTATTTTTTGCTTCAATACGCTTGATTCCAATCGTTATCTGTCCACTAAAATGTTTGGTTTAAGGTAACTTTATTTGACGTCATGATCAAATTAAAATATTTCTTTAGGCAGGGTTAGATTATGTACATAATAATAAAGACAGGTGTTTGAAAAATATCAAGCAGGCACAATGACTTTGTCAATTCAAAGATGCAGGAATCCAGTTAGCTCATAATGCATTTAAATCAATGACGTTAGAAATCAGCGTACAGTAAAAGAGTTTTCCTGGTAATTGAAATGATAACGAATCAAACCTATTTTGATTACAATGTGATTATTCTTTAAATCTTAATCTATATTTACCTGTAATTTTTTCTGTGAGTGTTCCATCTTGTGTATTACATAAGAATATCAGGCCTTCAGATGTACCAGCTAACAGTATGTGGTGCTCCTTAGGATGGAAACGCAAACACATTATCTGAAAACCTCCATATCTTGTCTTCCTTAATTCTTTAAGAAGTTCTCCTGTGGTTGAGTTAAATAACTGAAAATATACAAGTAAAGTGTAAAAAGTTCATTTTCTAAACAGTTCTGATTTAAGTTCTGACCTCACAGTAGTCGGGCATTTGAATATCCATCAAACAGGCAGTACAGTAAAACATTATTCTTTTGGTCTAACAAGACACCCATAATTCAGTTGAGCTTATGCCTTAACCAATAGAACTGTTTTTCAGAAACCCCTACTAGGTGTATAGGGACACTTTCACATTTGTGTAGTTTTCGATACGTTTGCCGTAGGCATTTTTCCGCAAATATTTCACTGGATTGTACAATGCCTTGAAATGCTTACAATAAACACAGTATGAGACTATCAAGGCGGTTGGGTGTCAAAGAGTATAGGATTTTTATGGAAAGATGTAACAGAAGGGACTGAGTGAGTCTCAAACTGTTTAGACTGTTTAAAACAGGCACTTACCCTAATGGCACCATTGCCGTAACCAACAGCTAATGTTTCACCATCAAATGAATACTGTAGACTCCAGATTCCTCCTAACTCACTGTCAAAGGGAATTTCTTTAATAATATCTACCTTGGAGAATTTTTCTGGCCATGGTTTACCTGCAAGTATACAAACAAAGCTAAATTAAAAAAAAGGTCAATATTCATACTGTATAACATGTGTATAATGAGTATAAATTGATATTAGTATTACAACTTGACTTTCAAAAGATACATTCGATTTCACTAATCACAAAATCAGAAGCATTTGTGACTTAAAATACCTGAAACAAGATACAACAAGAGTGCACACGCTGAAATGTCTCGCGTTCTTTACTAAGATTTTTTTGATATTATGTTGATAGTCCTAATTGAAAGTTTTACTACAACTATTACATAAACTTAACATGATCCAAGAAAATGAAGTCAAGGTCATATAAACCAAACGAGAAATACATGTACACCTTACAATCATTCAATACACTAAATATAGTTGACCTATTGCTGATAGTTTCTAAGAAACAGACTTAACCAAGAAAACTAAACATTGACCAATGAATCGTGAAAATGAGGTCAAGGTCAGATGAACCATGCCAGGCAGACATGAACAGCTTACAATCCTTCCATACAACAAATATAGTTGACCTATTGCTTATAGTTTAAGAAAAACAGACCGAACACATCAACTTAACACTGAGCAATGAACCGTGAAAATGAGGTCAAGGTCAAATAAAACCTGCGACACTGACATGTACATCATAAAATATTTCCATACACCAAATATATTTGACTTATTGCATATAGTATTAGAAAAAAGACCAAAACTCAAAAACTTAACTTTGACCACTGAACCATGAAAATGAGGTCAAAGTCAGATGACACCTGCCAGTTGGACATGTACACCTTACAATCATTCCATACACCAAATATAGTAGACCTATTGCATAAAGTATAAGGAAAACGGACCAAAACACAAAAACTTTACTATAACCACTGAACCATGAAAATGAGGTCAAGGTCAGATGACACCTGCCAGTTGGACATGTACACCTTACAATCCTTTTTTACATCAAATATACTAGACCCATTGCTTATAGTATCTGAGATATGGACTTAACCTCCAAAACTTAACCTTGATCACTGATCAATGAAATGAGGTCGAGGTCAAGTAAAAACTGTCTGTCGGACATGTGGACCTTGCATGGTACGCACATACCAAATATAGTTATCCTATTACTCATAATAAGAGAGAAATTAACATTACAAAAAATCTCAACTTTATTTTCAAGTAGTCACTGAACCATGAAAATGAGGTCAAGGACAATGGACATGTTACAAACGGAAACTTCGTAACATAAGGCATCTATATACAAAGTATGAAGCATCCAGGTCTTCCACCTTCTAAAATATAAAGCTTTTAAGAAGATGGCTAACGCCGCAGCCGCTGTAGCCGGATCACTATCCCTATGTCGAGCTTTCTGCGACAAAAGTCGCAAGCTCGACAAAAATTAGGTAAATGTTTAATAAATAGCAGTTGTTGATATTACTTTTTAAGGGAATTATATTTTGTATTTGTGATTTAAAATCAAGATCAATATTTAAATATACAAACTATGTTTTTGCCCCTTCACTCATTGGCAAAAATATTGAAAACAAAATTAAAGAGGACACTGGCTTACTTCTAGACTATTAGAATATATTTTAATCAAGCTAATATATGCATTGAAAATTTTCAGGAACCAATGTCAGATTCGTGAGAATCCGGGCCACTGACATGACTAAAGCCCTCACTAATCTCAATATCTTAGTCATGAGCTATATATGAATTTTCGGTTTGTACTGATACAAAACTAGTGAAATAATAATAAATAATTCTAATGTCAAGTTTTAAACAACTGAGTGCTTATCCAATTCAATGTTGAAATAAAACTGTAATCAACATCTATAAATAAAGATAGTTGGTCCAATTTGTTATAAAATTCTGTCATAAAACGTGTTAACTATCCTTGAAGTTATTCACTACCTGGAGTTAAATGTACTACAAATCATTTTCTACTGATGTAGTTTGTAACCTATTATAATAAATTACTTTCAATAAAGTTTTTCATAACAAATTCACTTTCAAAATGAAAACTTTTGTTATAATTGACTCCTACTGGATAAAAACATCTACGTCATTTGGTCTCATTGGCAATCATACCACATCTTCTTATTTTTATATTTGATAAAAAGCTAAAACAGCTACTATTGGGCAGAAATTTATATCTTTAATAAAAACATCATAAGCTCAACAATCATATCAGATCTTTTTCTTTTTCTTTAAATTCTTACTCAAACAGAAATGTTTTCTAAGACCATCTACTATAATTTTAAAGTCATGAATAAATGTATCCAGTAAATGGAAAAGGTTTTCAGGGATCTTTGCAAATTAAGAGCCAAGATGAGACATAATTGATCAATTTTCAGTAATTATCTCCATAAATATATAAAATATCCAAATTTGGATATGGGATTCTGGAATCACCCAAATCATACAAGTTTTCCTGGAAAACTCACTGTTGTTTCAGCCATAATTGAATCGTATATTGAACATCCTCAGTCTTCACGATAAACGATAAATCTAAACCTGGAACTCAATTTTTGGAAAGTTTTAGTTAGATTCTGTTGCAAATTGAGGACCAAGATGAGACATAATTGATCAATTTTCAGTAATTATCTCCCTAAAGATATGAAACATCCAAATTTGGATATGGGATTCTGGAATCACCCAAACCATACAAGTTTTCCTGGAAAACTCGCTGTTGTTTCAGCCATATAAATTGAATCCTATATTGAACATCATGATACCTATTTTAACTAAAACTGTGTCACTAATCACTAATGGATACCCCCTGCCTTACGAGAGACTACAATGTACACCACATAATACAATATATATTGCAGTAAGTAAATTTGATTATATCTACCCTTTATCATATTCCTTCTCGAGTAGTGTTATACAACTAAATGTTAAGTTTCATTAATATCCATCAAGCCCTTTATGATAAGTTGCATGAGCTTACAAGATTATGACTACATAGTGCAATATTGAAGTTAAATAAATTTGGTTATCTCCCCTTTCACATGCAGAATTGGGATACCAGTATATTCCTTAGTGCATATCCTCAGTTAGTGCTCTACAAAGTCTATGCAACGTGTCATCCAAGGGGGTATATTAAAGGAGATATATGGCATGTAAGACCTAAACTAATCAAATTTTTGATTTGTTACATAAAAAGAAACACACTGTATTCTTTTGTTGGCCTAATAATGAAATAATAACTTAGTATGCAATGCAACTGCCGATAAACATTATAGATGGTAACTTATACATTTGTTAAATATTGAATGAGAAATTCTATGCAAATATCAAGTCAATATTATTTATATGCATTTCAAAGAAACAAAATCAATAGCAAAATTAAAATTCAAGGTTTCATTTCAAAATCAAATTTTAATCTGTCACAAGACACAATGAAATGATATTTTTTCAATTTTATAATCTCCACAGACAAATTGTATGAGCGTTTCAAGTACATGTAATCCTGTCTGATCATTTAAATCTGTTTAAAGTTTTCCAGTACATTAAAATGAAATTTATGATGCGAAATAAACTATAATGTTGCACACCTGCTGCTGATGTAGTCTTGTGTCAGTTATGAATGCATTACTGTAGATTCAGAAATTATCACCATTTTTGAAAAATGAACAAAAATGCGATATTAATAATCGTGATTTCATGAAAATCTGCATACAGATATATGTATGAGGTGTCAGAATGCAAGTTCTTATTATTGCAATACTCACCCAGTCGCATTATATATAAATTGGCAATAATAAAAACCTCAAAATAATTTATGAAATTACAGTTCTTAAATTGGAAAAAAAAAGAATTAAGAGACAGCAATCTCATATTATTCTTGTCACTGGGTTGCTGCCTCATTGACATATAACCCACATTTACTTCTATTCATAAATCAAAGAAAACTTTACTTTTTTCACAATATTATTACAGATTTGATCAAACTTTATTTCTTAAGGTAAAGATAAGGATATGGTGTATCAATACAATATGACAAAATCACTTCAGGCGCATTGAAAACCTTAAGCAATAGAAAAGCACTTTTATTGCTGTTCTTCTTCTCAAAGTCACAGTGAGGCCTTCAACATAGAGCAAAAACTTAGATAACTTTGCAGGTGGACAGCACAAAATATCAATTAACAAACTAGACGAAAACGAGAAAATGAAGTAGCACACATAAGAATGAATATGCCTTTACTGTAAAAAATATAAGAGCATACATCTCAAGCAGTGGGGAACCTTTTACAGCTTCCACACAACATAAGAGACTACTGTGGATTCATTTTTTTTCGTTGGATACCAATTTTCATGGATTTCGTGGGAACAGGGGAACCACGAATTTAAATCTTCAACGAATTACAAATTTTCCATAGGCTTGTATGCAGAATTGAGCAAAACCACGAAATTAAATATCCACAAAAGTGTAAGTTTTCCTCAAACCACAAAAATTGATACCCACGAAAATAAATGAATCCACAGTAATTATAAATAAGAAGATGTGGTATTAGTGCCAATGAGACAACTCTCCAAGTCACAATGTACAGAAAGTTATTTATTATAGGACAAAGTACGGCCTTCAACACAGAGCCTTGGCTCACACTGAACAGCAAGCTATAAAGGGCTCCAAAATGACTAGTGTAAAACAATTCAAACAACAAAACCAACGGTCTAATCTATATAAAAAACGAGAATCGAGAAACACTTATGAACCAAACCAACCAACAACAACCACTGAACAACAGGCTCCTGACTTAGGACAGGTGTTAACTCTGTTAATACTGTCCTTAATATTATTCTTCTATATAAGCTTTTTCTAAACAAATAGTAAAAAAAATCATTTTTGTGCTAAAATTTCTTTATAAGGCAGATAAATTGTATGAGCCTTTAAGAAAGTTTAAAGGGAATTTTATATATATGTATGCATATAGTATTGATCAGTTTCCATTGAAATCGGGAAAAAATGATTGAACCGACACAACAACAGCCCACCTTTTATATTAAAATAAACAATATTGTCTGAGTCAATTCTATCTTAATGATGCAAAAGTAAACATCAGTTAGCTATAAATTTGTCAATGCACTTATTGTGACCCAGACTGTTTAGGCTAACTTTATATTGTTGAAATTTGATTGTTTATATAAATTCAATTGCACAATTTTTGTGCACTCTGCAACCAAAGTATTTATGTATCAATGCAAACAGTGAATTCAAAGAATTGATATCAGTATTAGTTATCTAAATGAAAAGGCATAAATTTTGCGGCTGTTCATTTTATTGAGAAAATGGTGTGTTTATAGTTTCTTCTAGCCTGCAATTAAAATTATTAATTACCAATAAATCTATTTCATTTACAAAACTGTGTTCCGTAAAAACATGCTTTTTGCATATATATCAAATTCATTTCCTTGACTGTTAATGCAATTAATACAGAGAATCAATTTCATGAACAAAACCCGCAGTGACAATCAATTTTAATGTCAATAGTGCCAACAAGCTTTTATTTCTACCCAGTTAAAGTCTGCAATTTCTATAAATGTTCAAAAAAGATCCATTTAAACTCTGACTATTTTAAATGCAGCCTAACAATGACTAAATATTTTAAGCCAACTGTGAAAAATAAAATAAACAAGAGTATTTTATTTTTTACAGTTGGACCCAAAAATTTAGTCATTTGTTAGGCTTCAAATTAAACTGTTAGAGTGCTTTAGACTTGAAAAAACAGTTCAGTCTTGTATATTTCACCATTTCAGAATCTAATGCATTTTGGGTAATATTTTCAAAAGTGTACACCAAATAAACCCAATGATGTCAAGTTATTATCTTTTTGGTGTACGAACGAGATTACCCACAGTCCTTTAGATTCTGAAACGGTCAATTGTTCAATGTTAAAGATTTGGGTCAAATAATTTTGATGAACCAATATCTGTCTCTTTTCTGCCCATTTTAATTATGTTCAGTATGAAAAACATTAACAAAATAACCAACAAAAAGATTTATGTCCCTTGGACACCATGCTCATCACACTATATTTCTATGTTCAGTTTACAGTGAAATAGGGGTCAAAACCTTAATTTGGCATTTTTTTTTTTTATAATGGTTAAAGTTCACATCATAATGAACATAAGTTTTAAGTTTCAAGTTGATATGACCACAAGTTAAAGGTTAACTTCCTTGACCAAAAACTTAAACATGAAAATGTACTGATTTCACGCTAACTCATTTCCAAGTTCAGGGTTAAAACCTGAATTTGGCATATCAATAACGTTCACATCATACTGAACAAGTATACTAAGTTTCAAGTTGATGTGACCATAACTTGAGGGTAAATTACCATAGCCATATGCATACATCCTCTTCGGAAAACACTGAAAATATTTACCAAAATAAATGATGTCCCAATAATCAAGGGGAGATAATTATACTGGACACAAATTGCAAATCAACTGGTCATATATGAGCTGCATCGGATAGAAATCGGCCTTATGCAAGTGCACATTTACATATAAATGTATACAACTTTGATTAGTTTTAGGAAAATTTAACATGTTCAAGTACAAAATAAAAGATGAATTTTGGTCTGTGTTATAGGGTTCTTATAACAACTCAATTATCAAACAGTTCCAGACTTTTGATTGAGATTTAATTTCAAGCCGAAATAGGATAACAGATATATTGATATTCACTTGCATAAGGTCGATTTCTATCCGACGGAGCCCATATATTGTAAAATATATGCAAATCACAAGGAGTAATAGTTTTTTTCAAAATATCTTGAGAGAACTTGATTAAAAAAATCTTTAAATAAATATTTTTTTTTTTTTATTTCATCGACAAAATCTGAGTACTTTCTATATTTCCACCCATAAATAAAATATGCTACAGCTCATTGGATATTGTTCTTTCCATTTGTAGGTGTGTGTGGGCTCAGAGTTGGAAATACTTATATATCAATGTACTATCATATATGTATATTGATTATATACATATAATTTGTCAACCCATACTTGTCTCAGTACAACATGGTACAATAAGGAAGAAATTGTTAGTGAACCAAGTAAAAGTACCTAGTTTTCTCTGACAATGTTAAATACAACATATATCATTTGAATGGTTTTGTACAGTAGATTTTAAATAAGCAATCTGAATATCTTTATTTTTCCAAAAACAGAAACTTTGAAAATTAGGCGGATTTTATTTACACATCCACATTTGAACAACAAAATTTAACTGTGAAAAGAGTAAACTTTCTTGGTAGAGGGGTCTAAACACATACAATATTTTCCAAGACCAAAAAAGTGAAAAGGTATATTTTAACAAAACGCATTTGACTAGCAGTTCGAACAACGGATGTTCTTAAACCCTGATATATAATGAAACAACTTACCTTTTTCTATACATTTTCCTGCCTGTAAATGTTTCTCCAAATTTCTACGAGCCATAATCTAATCAATACTGCTTTTAAAAAATATACACCCTGTAAAATCTACTGTTGAAAGAAACAAGAGATGTCCTTGTAGGTATCCTGTTCACACAATTATTCTATCACTTTTGCATGTCTCAACCAGATTACTGCTAAAAATCTGAAAAAATAAAAATCATGTTATTGAAAATATATTTATTTTTAAAGTACAAATAACTTATCTTCATATTGAAATCTGTGAATTGTATCAACTTGTTTACGTCTGACTTGTATGTAAAAATTTAAAGTTCCGTAACCTGATGCAGTATGTTATTATTCTTATAGTCAAATATTGATTGCAAAATTAAATGTAATTTAATGCCCTACTTCAGTACATGAAAGTGTTTTCTGACACTTCAGACAATCCATTATTCAAAAAGTGTAATGACTGCAAAATTATAACTTGCTGTTGAACGAATAGTAAAAAAATATAATATCTGTGTTTCACAACAATGAATAGATAGTTTTACTTAAATGAACATTCGATTTTATTATTCCGTATTATATTTATATACAGAGAGGTACAGATACAAATAATTAATAAAAGCTATTGAGCATTGCTCGAGCACTTTAACTAAGAAATAGGATCTGTCTTGAAAAGGATGTTTGTCAAATGAATTTTTTATCACCTCATAACAATCAGTTATTATTTTCGGCTGACTAGATAATAAATAAAATTCTATTTCATTTTAAATTACTTTCAATGCATTGATTATTGGATTATGAATAAATTTTGCTTTCAATATGACCGTACAAATTAAAACTTATTGAACATTGGCAAAATGATTCTGAAAACCTCTAGTACGGCTTGCAAATTATCAACAACAACAAAAAATTATAGTTTTATACTTTCAAAATGATGAATTTTTTGACAGTTGATTGAACATATTTTTTTTCTTAATCATTTCCTTTTCGATTTCATCAATTAAACCAAAGAAAATTTAGAATTTGAAAAACAAAAGAGTCTTTTGTTCAAAAGCCAAATAAAAAGGGAACATTTTTTGGCTAAATCTACATATATATATTTCGTATCATTTACATATAAACCTGTCGAGAGTAACTCACAAGGCCAAATATTATCTATTTTGTGTTTTCTGTAATCAGCACGAAGTTAGAAGTATGAAAATTTGGGTTGACAGGATGGAAGAATAGTTTACAGGCAATAATCTTGAACTTAATACTTATATTTGAAATTTGCCAACAGAACTAAGGGTTAGCCCTACAAAATAAAAGTTTACTGGTTGGGTAACAGACCAGAGTTGTTTAAATCTATTATTATTTCTATGTTTCATTTTCTGTAGTTATTTATTGTATAAAACACTCCAGATATTTTGCAGTCCTTGTCAAAATTTGCCATTAAAGACTGACAGGACTGAACAGCTAGGTTCAGCAAAACAGGCAACGACGCAACATACTTACTTGTTTTTTCTTTCTTGGTCTCAGATCATTATAAAGATACCCTTCTTTATTCTTAAAAGTATACTTATGTCTCATACTGATAAACTGATTTGTTTCCATGGGAGCTCAACATTACATTCATGTTTACTTGATTTACTACAGATTTACTACACTCCCCCATTAATGGGCCATTTTCTCTGACCCACCCTGAATAGTGAATATTCACTCCATAATTGAAAAATTATGTAATTTACTTACAAAAAGATAACAGGAACCACCAACACAATATGAAAAGGGAAGGAAATTAAAATTTTCAAGTGGTAGCTCAGACCTGAGCCTGCACCAAAAACTTTTCCAAGTACTACTGCTTGTCCGAAGACCAATGTTTAGACATTTTTCTGTGTCTAAACATGCCAAACAAACTTTTGCAAATACTTTCTAGTCCAAATAGAATTTTACTAGTCTGGGGCATCGAACTAGAGGATAACAGTGCAGACTGGCATAGGCAATATTTTTGCTGACCCACTGTATTATGATCAAGCAAAAATGTGAAAAATTAGTACACCAGATGAAATATTATGGGACATAGTCTACTGGACCCTGTGAATTTCTCCCCAAGTCCCTGATTGGGTAGTACAAAAGACCACATCAACATTGAACACTGTCCAAATAGTCTGACTTGTGATCATTGAAGAAAAGAAAAATGTTATAAATACCTAAATTAGTCTTGTTATGTAATCTACTCCACTGTCTCAATTTTAATCTATTAATATATTGATCAACACTTTTTCACAATCAGATTGTATCTTGATGTTCTTATCAGCAGATGCTTTACACAAATGACAATCTGATTTTGTCTTCTGATTATTTCTCAACATGCACAAACGATAAAAGTTCAAAATAATGTCAAATAATAAAATTCCTGTACCTTATATAACCTATACTTTAAAGTTTTGACAAAATATTGACAAATGTTAATACCCGATTTAACGCAGAATACCAAAATAATCTGTTTGGCAAAGGACTGTGTAAACAGTTTAAATTAGCTCAACAAAAAACATTGACTTATTTAATCCTTACGTAGTCTTAAATATAGATTAGTTAAATGGCCAAAAACATCTAAATAACCTTTTAAAGATCAACGACATACAGATGTTATCATATTCTAACAATGTCGAAACTTGCTATAATTGTGAAATTTTTCCTTTCATTTAAAAATTGTATTCATTAATTCCAAAAATTTAAAGGACTGCACATGAAAATAAGAGTTCAAATTTTCAATAGATCTTTAAAATTCAAAGTGCATGTAAAATTTTATTTGAATTCCTTGTTATGAATTTCAATCAAATTAATTCCGCCTGTTTGAGTTAAAGGTCAATCATATCTTCCCCTTAAATGTCTTGTATACTTTGACATTTTCTTTATTCTTCTGGTCACAAACAAAAGATTTTTAGGCCACCAACTTAGAAATAAGAATTTGGTGATCTAGAAATCACAGATAACCAAAACATTAATTGATTTATAAAATAGACTTGTAAAATTAAAGCAGAATTAAAAGATTGTTATGCATCTTAACTACTATATACAGTTGTTTTTCAAAAAAATCTGATATTCAGCTTTCATGTAACAAGTCAACAAGAGCTTAACCTGCAGTGTTCTACATAAGACATTAGTGTACAACATGTGTCAAGCTCTAAATAGCTTGGAGTCTGGAAAAGATGAGAATTATTTTGAACAGAGACTATCAAAATGTAAATTAAACATTAAATTCCCTAAAAGTTCCAGTGGTTCCCAAGGCTTTGAGAAATCATGCAACTGGACATTTGATCCAGTAAACCATTCTTCTTATCTGGACCAGACTCTTTTTTTTACAGGACTTTTACACATTTGATTTGGACAAAAAAAACCAATTTTAATGGTCATTTAGTCCAGTAATGCATAACTCTTAACTGGACCAAACTTGACTTTGCCCAATGTCCTGCGACCATGGGAATGACTTCTTAAACACAAAAAACCACTCTCGCCATAGCAGAAGAATTTCTGATAATAAACTATGTTTAATTATAACTTAATATCAAAACAAACTCAATCCGCAATTATAAGTCATAGATATTGGTTGAATTGATTAAGCTGTAATTTCAAGAATTTCAAGTTGAGACAAAGAGGCATAACTCTATAATAAGTGGAAAATGAGAACTCCTCCTATGTCTTTAATAGCTGGGACCAAAAGATAATTCATGTATTAATAAAAAAAAATGGTTAATTGTTAACTGCTTAAATAAACTGTTGACACAGAGATATATCTTGGCTATCGGCATAAAATTCAGAAAAAGACAATCTGATGGACAGCAACATTGCTAATTACTTCAGTTGCTGGACCATGAATAAGAAGAAAGGGCCTCGAAATGGTCAACAAACTGAGATGTACAGACAGTAATGTAACTTTATAGAAAATATCATTGTCTATTGTAAGTAGTTCCTATCAAACTAACTTAAGCAGAAAATTTAACATTGAAAATTGCTAATTAATTCAAAGTCACTGGACCATGACCTAGGGGGCATGGCATCAAACTGGTCATCAAACTGATATGTACTGATAGTAATACAACTTTATAAATACAAAATATCATTGATCTTATCAAACTAACTTAAGCAGAAAACTTAACATTGAAAATTGCTAATTAATTCAGTCACTGGACCATGACCTAGGAGACATGGCCTTAAAATAGTCGTCATACTGATATGTACTGAAAGTTATGCAACTTCATACAAAATATCATTGATCTATCACAATTAGTCCTTATAAATTTAAACTTAAGCAGAAAACTTAACATTGAAAATTGATAATTAATTCAGTCAATGGACCATGACCTAGGAGGCATAGCCACAAAACAGTTGTCATACTGATATCACATACTGATAATAATGCAACTTCATACAAAATATCATTGATCTATCACAAGTAGTCCTTATCAAATTAACTTAAGCAGAAAACTTAACAATTGTTGACACCAACTATACAGTAAAAGCAATACCTATGTCGCAGGCGAGACAAAATGTGATATTTCAATTTTGAATATACATTTCAGTTTAACAAACTGCTGGTTTTCTTATTAAAATCAGACTAAACACTTTATGATTCAAAACTTTGAAAATAGGTAAAAAGATAATACGAAAACATGGAAAAGCTAATAAAATACTGTGAACATTACAATATACATGCAAATTATGACATTCAGAGCTTTGTATTATACAAATTGTCTTTGATGTACTTGATTTGTGGATTTTGAAGGTTTAATCAAATTGAAGGTTAAAGATGTTAACTCCGTCACCAAATAATGAGCAGATAATAGAAAACTATAGGCTCTAAAGAAGGAATAATACCTTCATCAATGCAATCGTATACATGCACAGAAAATACATTTGTACTCATAGACACAGTAAATCATACAGTTTGTCAGTTTGTTTTCGATCTGTGAGTTTGATTGTCTCTCTGGTATCTTTCGTCCCTCTTTCATAAGGAATTCTGTGCTTGACAGACTCTGGCTAAATACTTAAGGTCAGCTGGCACTGAACTTGAAGTACTGGGCAAATGGGAACATAAAATTGACAAACTTTTGTCATGTTTGTAGATATATATATCAACTATCACTGACTTGTTTAATTTTATTTTAAAAACATAATCTTCAACTGAACATATTTCTAATATCTATCTATCACAGTCAGGGGTACTACTTGTACAAGTAATTTTTATTTACTTGAAGAAGTAAATATTAATATACTTATATAAGTAAATTTGTAGGATATTTATACAAATGTATTTTATTTACTTATATAGGTATATTATTTTTTGGCTTAGTTATGTCCCTTAGACATTCAGATTTTTTTACTTATACAAGTAAAAAAGTCATCCTATCTTTTCTTGAATTTCTTAGGACATCTTTGCTCTAATAGAATTTTTAATTGTCTGTCCTTTGCAGATGTCTTAACTAAGTTTTTAAGTGTAATTTCATGGACGATAAAAATCTCAATTGTCTGTTATCTTCAGAACATTGCTCATTTACAAGCCCCCAAGGGGCAATTTTTGAAGGCCTTGCACAAATACTTAAGATCTTTGCGCAATTAGTTTCTTTGTTGAATTAATGAGATGAAACATTGAACTCTAATCAAAAATTATGAGCTAACCTGAGTAAAATTGTTAAAGGCATGTTTTTACATCTCAAAACTTGACAATTTTTCGGGATTGTTAAAAAAATTACTTATACAAGTAAATTTTTTGAGAAAATTAAGGGGAGATTATTCAAACATTATAATTTACTTATATAAGTATATTATCAATTATCATTTACTTCTTCAAGTAAATAAAGATTACTTGTACAAGTAGTACCCCTGACTGTATCATGTCTGTGATAAATACCTTCAAGGTTCATGATAGAACCTAAAAGGCTAAAACATTGAATTTATTCTGTGGCTTTTGAAAAAGTCACAATAGAATGTGTACATTCAATCTCATTTGATTGTGATTGCAAGTAAGGTTTCCTGTGACATGCATCAAATATATACCAAGCATTTTTTTTCAAAACCTGCTTCAAATTTAGTATGGACCACACCATGCAAAAAAAATTTCTATGGAAAACACTGACTGTGGCATATAATCCAAAAGGCAGATAACTCTTTCTTAATAAAAAAAACAAAACAATGAAAGTACTGATGGAAAAAACATGTCCGTTTTCATTAATGATTTTCATGAAAACGAAGATATAATATCAAAAGGAAGTAGCGAACTAATAAAAATTACAATACTGCTGCTATATATGTTTGGCGGCACTATTTTTAGTCCTCAGCCTTGAAGCCAATGGTGCACAAGTAGGGTATGACTATCTCCAAAAGATACTGATTGTTTTATTTGATAGTGATACATTTGTAATAAGATTCAAAGTCATTTTACTGGAATTTTGATTTTTTGCAAAAATCAGTATTTAAATAGTTATTATATATATACAGACAGTGACTTTGTGCCCTTTCACAGGTAACACCTGCCTTATATGGCTATATTATCCATTTATGTGATTTTGACAAAATACATTTCGCACATGTCGCAGGTTGGGAAAGAACATTATAAATGGGTACTATGATCTGTCTATCCCATTTTATCTATATATCCAAACCTCGGGTATCAATTTACAGTGATAAAAAATCAAATTATGTATTTCAGCATAATGGCTGTCATAAAAATGTATATATTCATATCAAAATGGCAATATTTTCCCACTGAAGACCATAGCTGATATGAGAACTGAATACAAAGATAATCGTGATAATGGCCTCCAAAAGTCTGACATTTTCAAGGCTAATATTAATTTAACTTTTATCTAGATGACATTTCAGTCATGGTGTCCTTGGGCAAAATGTTGTCATTTGCCTGAATGTTTGTCCAATGATAGTTAATATCTTGAAATCCAAAGTTCATATTTTTTTATCACTGAAAATTGATACCTGTTTTTGGGTAGATGAATATTACCCATTGATTAGGATCTCTCCCTCCCTGTTTATGTTTACAGGCAATTACAAAGGTTTTAAGGGCATTTTGGGGATCCATAGAACCACAGAAGAGTACGTAAGGTGCTGTCATTCACCCTCAGAGTATGTGGCCTTTCAGAAAAAAAAATTCACTTCCCTTTTTAATAGCTGCAGCACAGTTGTTTGAATTTTAGTGATAAAAATAATTGAAGAAAAAAAAATAGTAATATATGCATGATGTACAATATTTAAAAAACTCTAAAAAAAAATTGTAATATACACACAAGTTTTTCAAAAGTTTCAAAATATTTTTATCACTAAAATTCAA